CTCAATTAAGATTAATTAATAAATTAATTAATTGAAAGAATTAATTGATTGAAACTAATTAAATTAAAATTAATTGAAATTTGTTAATTGAAATAAATTGATTAGCAAATTCAATTAAATTGGTTAATTAATTATCCATGAGCAATTTCAAATATTCTACTAAAGACTTACAAGAGTGGATCAATTGACCTACAAGCCAGAGGGGTGAGCATGTTCTTTCATTTACTTTTATTCTGCTTCTCATCATTCTCTCAAATGTCACCCAGTCTAAGTAAAAAAAAAAAAATTTTGACACTATTTCATTCCAAGGACTATTTGGAGGTGCCTCGAATGTCTCTAAATGAGACCTCTCTTTAAGTGGTTCCAATATATATATTGGATAGAAGACTTTGAATTGTTGTGGCATTTTAAATACTATTCCTTTTTGAATTGTTGTTCAATAACTTTGAATTATTATGACATTTCAAATGTTATTCTCCTTTGAAATATTAGAGGTTTATGACTGTCAAAACATTACATCTCTTCCTCTAGCTAGTGAAATGGTTAATTGAAATTGACTGGCCAATCAAAATTAATTAATCAATTGGTTAATTTTAAATCCAAAAAAGTTTTAAATTCGAGAGTTTTAAATTACGAAAATATTTTAAATGATAATTTTAAATCTGAGAGATTTAAAAAGTACGAGAGCAATTTAAAATTTGAGTTAAAATTCGAGAGCATTTTAATTGATCAATTGGAACCATTTTAAAGTAAAATGCAATAAAAAAAAGAGAAAAGGAGGGGGAGGAGAAGTTTCACTAATCAACATATGCAACAATACTCTCCAAACAACAACATAACTCAACAATCACATCTCTCAATTCAACAAAACTCTACAAACTCCTGTGCCAAATTCCTCACAATAGAAACCAAAATTCTCCAACATAACAAAACACTCTGCAAGCTCTCCAAAGTCTCTCATGTACGAGCTCCTGTAAACATGTAATGAAATCAATTAAGCATTGAAATAATTAATATCATAAAAATTAATGCAAAAGAAGAGCAAATGCTACAAGTAAATTACTAGTGGACTGGTGCAGAAAAAGTAATATACTAAAACAGGAAAAGAACATACTGTAGCAAGGAACACTAGTGTCACAGCGATAATAGGTCAAACTAGTATGTACAATTTCTAGTAAACAACTAATTAAAAACCATGCTCTGGGGTCAAATAACTATTGTCCACTCAAACAATTCAAACCAATGGACATCATAGTCTATAGGGTTAGGTTGTAAGACCCGTCAATGAGCAACTTCTAAATGAAATCATAAGACCCATATTAGAAGAAAATTGTTAAAATAAATTGCAATGATCCTAAAACCCAAACAATCAAATTCAAACCATTGGGCATCTTGGTCTAAAAGATTAACTTGTAAAACTCGCTTTTCAGGCTACTTCCTAAGAGAAGTCACAAGACCTACTCAAACAATTTAAACCTTTGGGCAGCCTTGTTGTAGAGTTAGGTTGTAAGACCCATTTTTGATCAACTCATAAAAAGAATCATAAGCCTCACTCCAAATTAAACCTATGAGTAACTTTCTATGAAAGTCGTAAGTCCCAACCCAAATTCAAACACTTTGGCTACTTCCAAAAGAAGCCGTAAGATCCATTTAAATTTAAACTTTTGGATAACTTTTAAATGAAGTCATAAATCTCAAACTAAATTAACTTATGAGTATTCTAATAGATGTAAACACGAAAATCCAAATAAAAATTAAAACTCAAATCTAACCATCTCAGCTTACTCGGGATCCCTGAGAGGAGGCAACTCATGCCTGCTAATCAGATTCCTTGGACACTATGGTGATTGTTAGTGTTGGTAGGCTGAAACCTACGGTATACCTGGGATGACGGAACCATTGGATCTTGATTGGATTTACCTCATTTTCCCTTATAATTGAGACTAAAATACCTAAAATTATTCATCCTTAATCAAGAGTTCTCTCTTACGTGTTAAGAGGGGTTATTAAATATGAATGCTTGTGCTCATGGGAAGTAAAGACCACAGATATAATTAAACTCTGATACAACCCTCATGGAAAATCTGATTAACTACAATCTGACTTAAGGTAAATGGAATCCTACAGCTGCAAAGCAGAATTCATGCATTCATGCTTTTTTTCTTGAGCCAACAAACGCCCTAAAACTTTCATGTGAATGGTTGAGGTATTTCTTATGTGGGTAAGATCTCAGGAATGCATGACAAAGAGTTTGAAAGTTGAGAATACGATGAGGCATAGTATACCTTCCCCTCAAAATTATTTAGAACATGTGGTAAATGTGAGTGATCTGGCTACACTAATCACCTAGGAGCTTTGATGAACTATTCCTTAAGCTTTCCAATTTTGTTGTGATATGTCAACGGATCACCTTTGATGAACTATTCAATAACTTGATAGATTACATGGGATCGAAACAATTTTTACATATTAGTTTTCAACATGTATATTTTTGTTCGGAATTGATTTTGAATTGTAGTGTTGAAAAGCATAAATATTTGCAAGCTATAGATTTTTCTTTTGTAAGGAATATTTCTATGACTCTTGTGCGATCATTTATGAAGGAAATAAAGTAACAATTTATTGTGAAGTTTTTAATTTTATGTAGTCCTGAGTGCGACTCAGAAAAATCATTTGTTTTTTTTTTTTTCTGAAATAGAGTAGGATCAGAATTTCTCACATGTTATGGAATTAACAAACTTCACATGAGAAGTCTTTTAATTTTTATTTTTAAACAATAAAGGGAATAGTTTTTTCAATATAGGCAAAGTTTGGATGTCTTAGGTGACATTGACATAACATGATTTTACTATTGTTGTTGGATTCAAAACATAATGTAGGATTACTTTGACTAGATGACTAGGATTACTTTGACATAACTTAAGAACTTTTTTTGAAGAGACAACTTTGAGGAGAAAAAGTCCTGAGCACATCTCAACACTTCCAATCATCTGCCTTAATTTTTCATCTTGAAATGCACAAAAATATGAAGAAATTTAGCAATGAAGTTTATGTCAAGGGTGAATTTATTTAGGTTACATTCAAAATTTGGCACTAATAAGATTGAAATGACAGTTAATTTATTTGAGATACAAATATATTTGATTTTGAACAACTTTGAATATTGGGTTTAGAAATTCTAGCATTATATTTTTTATGGCATGATTTATAATTTTCTAAAATCTAAATGCCACGTGTCATATTATCTAAGTTACCAAAATTTATAATTCATAGCCTTTGGCGTTGGTTAACCTTTTTTATGTTTAAGTAATATTTAGGCCATTGAACCTGTGCTAATCACAAGGAGGAATGGATATGATTAATTTAACATATTTTGGAATGGGATCTTTTATTTCTAGCTAAATAGGTTTGATCCTAAAAGGGTGGAGTTTTGCCTTCTAGTGGCAATCTGATTCAGTCACACAGAAGAAAAAAGGTATAACAAAGTACTCAATGAGATAAACGTTGAGAATGGCTGATAATGAATACTGAAGATTGATAACAACAAGCAGTTGTAGGAGATCTTTGAATCACGCTGAAAAGCATGAATGATAGATCTGTTTGTCGGATATGTAATGAACAAAGGAAGATTGATGAATCACGAGAAACGATTTTTCGCTGAGCTAGTACAATGATTGTTGGAGATCTATAACTATAGGAGATGAACAACTAATGCTTGGAAAGCTCTATCGACAGATTTGCAACTATAGGAGATCGACAACTCAAGAGGTGTAGAGTAGAAGCCAAAATCTTATGGATCTTATTAACGTTGGAATTCAATGGCAATGAGGAGTCAAGATAAAATAATTAGTAAGGAGCGAGTTGCAATAGTGAGATTGTGGAAGACCGAAGATGAGTTGTGATAATGAGAGATTAAAGCGATGAAGGCAACACATAGATGATGTAGTTAACACCTAAAGGTTACACATGTATTGTTGTCTGGATGACAAGAGTTACACATGAGATAAAGACGACTTGCGAGCGGGCGGCGAAGGCAAGTCATGAGGCAATTTTAGTAGTGAGAAGGTTCAAAACTATCACTTGTTAAAAGGATCCTCGATACAGAGAAACAAGAATGTTGTTGGACATGAGGATTAGTAGGAGAAGAAGGTTCAACATAGTCATGCCCTTGATTGTTGTTAGTGAAGAGATTCTTGAGGCTTGATGCAAAGGATAAGAGGGCTCATTACTTTGAATGTCAAAGAAAATATAAGAGTTAGATGAATGATTGAGATAAATCTTTTAGTGTCAAAGAGCAGAGGAATGGCAGGATCAAAATCCACTATGTGATATATACCATGAAGTAATTGCACTCTTTTACCCCTTTTGAGCAGCCAAGGGAAAATAAATAGAGGGGGGAATTTATTACTTTCTTATCACATCCAATTCAATAAGCATTAAGTATATTATTTATTCCTTACTTTCAGATCAATAGAAAATGGCTGAAACAAATAATCATACAAAATTAATCCATCTGCCTAAATTCGAATTTCAACAAACTCAAATCTAGTTTTCTTCTGGCAAGATATAGGCTCAAAGTATGGCAATAGTTTTTGTGAAATCAAGCAAAAACTTCTCTTTAAGCATTTTAAGGGAAGGAATACTATTAACATTTAAATCAATACTATAAAATATTGCTCATTTCATAATTCGCATGTGTAGGTTAACAAATTTCCATAAAGGCGATTGATGAAAAGACGTTGTAAAAGAATAAGCTTCTTGAGTATTCTTCATCTAGGAAAAACTTTGTTAATTTGGTTAGGCTGAGTGGAGGAGTTTGTGGTTCGTCTTTTTCCACTTCAAAAAAAAATAAAAAATTGCAGAAAGTAAATATTAAAGCATGTCTTTGTTGGAACAATAAACTAAATATGATGTTGGGTTCTACTTTACTTTTGAAATTTATATTCTTCATTCGTTTGGATATCAAATGTTTATTCATTTGGTGTATGATTTTCCTGTAGGACATATCGATCATTCTGCCAGAGTAATGCGGGTCATCACATGGAATAGGTCATTTAAAGGCATGCCTTATGCAAATGATGGGAGAGATGACTTTGATAATGATGAGTGGGAAACTCATGCTACTGTATTGGATAAGATGCTAGCATGGGAAAAGAAACTTTATGATGAAGTCAAGGTAATTTGCATCTGTTTATATCATTTACTTGAGAGGGCTATCATGGAACTGTGATTAGGTAGCCTTCATTTTGACCTGAAGATTGGTTCAAGTCATGGAAATTGCTTCTTTCCTGCATACATCAACTGCTCTTTAGTCCCTTAATTGCAAAAACTATATGCATTATATATACATCAACTGCTCTTTAGGCCCACATTGTCACCATGTATTAGCTCCTCAGGTATAACTGATGGTCACACACGACCCATTTTTTACTGGAAACATCGCTGTCCCTCAATAATTTGAGAATTTTCAGAAGTTTGGAAGGACATACTTATAATTTAGTAAATTATTTTAATTAGGCTAATTTAAAATTAAGAAAAATTTTATAGCCTTATGCTTTAAGATGTAACTTAATGGCCAAAATTAAGGAGCTTTATTTGAATTTCAATATTGTTCGATATTTTGGTTTTTCTATTTTGTTCTCTCCTTTTTCAATATTGATTGAAATTCTGCATTTTCGTTGGAATCCATATGTAGGCTTCCACTGTATAAAATGTAGCATGAAGTCGATTCCCTGCTGTTTAGCCACTGATAGCTCTTGTTTCCTGTTAATTGACTTTTTACCATCGCTGAGATAACGTATCTCCTAATTGAGGTTGTTTATTGTTTATTTATTGCTGATTGGAGTACTGCTTTGCGATATACATGAAGTTTCTGACGGTTGGCTGTTTTGCTTCGTTGTAGCCATCTCTTCTCCTGCTTCCCTATTGTTGCAGAGTTCGGCTGTACTTTGTTTTCCTTCTATGTAATATTGCAGCAAAGTCATAACTTGCTATTCTGCATTGTAGGATGCCAATGGAAGTTTGCTGTTTTGAAATCAGAACTTGCGATTTTTAGCTAGATTTTTGTGGATTCTAAGAAACTACCAAATCATAGGTCCTTTTAGGTTGTAAATATGACCCATTAGCATTTAATAATTAATTCAATGATTTAGTAAAGAGTAAAAGCCCAAAATAGTCTCATGACTATTAGCAAATACTCAACCTAATCCTAGACTTTTATAATGGCCTAATTTAATCCCCCGCTATTAGAAAATGTTTCAATTTGATCCCAAGGTCAAAAGTAATGATTAAAGTTAACCCTAGCTGTTAAATGTGAGGGCATTATAGATATTAGGGTGTATGTGAGATTAGATTATTATTTTTATATATTTTGTGATTTATTATATTAAAATAAATATAAAAATTATAATAGAAGTTTATCAAATTTGTTAATTATTCACTTTTGTTATTTAGTTGGTTAACTTACATTATGATTTTTATGTTTATTTTAATATGATAAATAACAAAAAAAATTAAAAAAAATATAATTATATACACCATAGTATTCAAAATGCCCTCACATTTAACTGTTGGAGTTAATTTTAACTATTATTTTTTATCTTGGGACTAAATTGGAATATTTTCTAATAGTCAAATGACTAAATTGCATTATCATGATTGTTTGATAATAAATTGTGCATTTAGTAATAGTCTGGGGACTATTTTGGGCTTTTATTTGTTTAGTAAATATGAGATTTTATATCAAAGTTGTGTGCTTCTAGATGCAAACTCTTTGAGTGTGTTTATGACAATTTCCGAGGAAAGTTTTTTCTTTGTACCAGCATGAATCCTAGATTGCCACTTCAGTGATTTCGCTCCTTTATCTTATTTCTTTTTTCAGCCATTTGTTTGATTGTGCAATTGATATTTGGTCTAATTTACTCTATGCAATGTGTATTGTAATTTTGTGTGATTTCATTCATGCACATAATTCTTGCAAATTTTCAGATTTTGGCTGCCATTAAATTTCTTGTTTGGAACAAGTTGCATGATTTTCTTGTTATGCTTCAGAAGAGATTAATATTTTCCTAAATTAAGAGTGTTGATGAAGTAGAATTTTTTTTTATCTTTAGCATGTTTCTTTTGACATCTTGTCCTGAGTTTGCAATTGAAAATCCTGAAGCTTAGACGTCCTGCATTATCATTCATTGGAATTGAATCATGGAGCCTTAACGATGAAAATCAATACTGTTAATCTTGGTTTTTTCTTTAATATCTTGGATAGCAAACTATAAATTACATGCATACTCTTTACGATGCCTAAATATCTTATTTTGTAGTATTTTTTAAAATCAAAATTATTGGTTGATTTATCATCAAAAAATTATCTTGATCGGGCACGAATCTCAAGGAAAAATCAAGCTGGAAACTTCAAAAATTAAATCTGGGATCACCTGAACTCCGATTTTAGCAAACTTACAGTCAAACTGAGCGTCTCAGAAATACGAACCCAACGACACTAAATTAAACTCGATCCGAGCCCAAATGGGTCCAAATTGAAGACCCGAAGCACATTCAGAAGGTTCAATCCATAATTTGGATTACCAAATAGTTTCCAAATATGACACGCTTATAGTCGAATTGAGCGGCTCGACGAGACGAGTCCAACGAGCCCAAGATCATTGAATTCCAATATCATTAAGACCTTCAAATGTTCGACAAACGGTCCACGGTCAAGGAATTCAATATCGGTCGTCCATCCAAATCATTCCACATTTGCCCTTGATCCTTCTATTTACGGGCATGCCATCCTGAAAAACCTATAAATAGCCCCTCATTTCTCTTGAGAGGGGGCTCCAAGCAAGAAGTAAGAAGAGAAGAGAAGAGAAGAATAGGAGGGAAGAAACTCCTCGACCACCGCCGGAGTTCCCCCCGACTTTCAAGTGATGCTGGAATTCCGCCCGACCTCCTAGTGACGTCGGAATTCCGCCCGACCTCCAAATGACGTCGGAATTCCACCCGACCTCCAAGTGACGCCAGAGTTTCACCCGAGCTCCAAGTGACGCCGGAGTTCTGTCCAACCTTCGAGTGATGCCAGAATTCCTCCCGAACTCCAAGTGACGCCAAAATTCCGCCCGACCTCCATGTGACGCCGGAATTCAGCCCGACCTCCAAGTGACGTCGGAATTTCGCCCGACCTCCAAGTGACATCGGAGTTTCACCCGAACTCCAAGTGACGCCAGAGTTCTCGGCCGCCAACTGACGTCGGACTTCTAACCGACGTCGGACCTCCGCTCGTCGCCAAATTTCGACCTGACGCCGGACTTCCGCTTGTTTTCGGATTTTCGCCGGACATCTATCCGATGCTGGATTTCTATCCATTGCTGGGCTTCTACCTAACGCCGTTCTTCCGACCTCTGTCGCCCGCCGAATACGGTCCTCCTGACTTATGTCGCCCACTGACTACAGTCTTTCCGACTCCGTCGCCAGCCGACTACAGTCCTCCTGACTTATGTCAACCACCGACTACAGTCCTTCCGACCTCCGTCGCCAGCCAACAATGGTCCTCCTGACTTATGTCGCCAACCAGCTACAGTCCTTCCGACCTCAGTCGCCAGCCGACTACGGTTCTCCTGAATTACGTCGCCCACCGACTACAGTCTTTCAATCTTCGTCGTCCACCGATTATGATCCTCCTGACCTTCGTCGCCCACCGACTACAGTCCTTCTGACCTCCGTCGTTCGCTTACTACGGTTCTCCTGACTTATGTCGCCCACCGACTATAGTCCTTTCGACCTCCGTCGCCAGACAACGGTCTTTATGACCTCCGTCGCCCACCGACTACGGTTCTTCTGACCTCCGTCATCAGACTGTGATCCTTCTGACCAAACGAACACGTTAACAGTGATTCTTTGTATTTCCACCATGTAATGTACTCTATAAGATATACATCAAGCTAAGGCCTTCCCCCAAAGAAGGGCCTCATTTGTAATCGACTGCAGATAATTGTGGATTCATTCAAATTGGGCTAGACCCCATGTTTTTTTCCCCTTTTTAGGTGTTTTCCACGTAAAAATTTTAGTGTCTCATAAATGCTACACCCTTTCTCTTATCTGATTGCGTGCTTTATTTTCGTACAAAGTTAAGACATTAAATTTAATATTTCTCTACCGCCGCGAATATTCCAGGACACAACATTGGTATTGTTCCAAATGCAAATTTTGGAATGCATCTAGAATTTTATTCAATTGAGCACCTTCATCTTGAAGTATGAATATGGCATCACACTATCTGCACCGTCTATACATGTAAGTTATCAAATTTATGATTGAAGAGAAAACTATTGTAGAGTCAAATAAAGTTTGGGGCCTATCTATTTGATATTTTACAAGTAGATCAACATTCTTATTTCAAGTAGTATGAATTTCTGAGAAAGTAAAAGCAATTAGTTAATAACTGAAATTAACAATTATTCTCGAGGCTTGTAATTTTGCTGTTTTAATTATTTTCTCCAGGAGAATTATTAAAGTTTAACTATTATGGAACCCATTACCAATTATCTTAAAAATGGAGTTTAAATGGTCTAAATTTCCTAGCTGTACATTTCTAGTTATGAAAGATTAGCTTAACCATGTTCTTGTACTTAGATTAACTTATTTAACTAAGTATGTTAGGTTGTTTGTGATGATTTTGGCATCGAGATATGAGTGTTGAGCTAGGTAGGTTTATTCAATTGGTTATTTTATGAAGTAACTGAATGAAGCCTTGCTAAAATATTTTAATTTTGACAAAAGGTTATACAATTGTCCATGCAGGCTTTTTACTATTGAGTATATTACCTATTTCATGATGAATTTCTGTTTTTTGATGGCCAAACCTTAAACTATCTTAAATCATAGAAGAAGTTAGAGCTGCAACTTGTTGAATGAGTAGACTTTTAAATGAGAATACTCTTTCATTCTTAAGTATCTTGCTTCGCACTCGAAGACATCACTTATTATGGAAAGAATTTGTTCTATTTTTTTATCAACAAATCTTTAAATATTGTAATTTATAAGAAAATTTAGAGCTTTGGCATGCAAAATGTGTGGTCTTTCAAATAAGGAGTACACAGCTACTTTCTTAAATGTTGTAGAAGTGTTTAGAAAAAGTCTTTTAATTCATTTAGTATGGTAGTTATCATCTGATGTACCCTACGATGCACCGACACTTCCTCAAATAGGCATATAGTGTCGGACACATATCAGACACTCCAAAAATGTGTCTGAATAAAAAAAAATATTAAATACAAATTGATCATGCGCGTCTTAATTATTTTATAATTTTTTTAATATAATTTCTTCTATTAAAAAAAATTATTTATTTAAATAATAAAAATAAAATTTCTTATTTTCTATTCACAATAACAAATCAATGGGCCGCACTCAATATCTCATTAATCAAATATTCTTATTTCATTTCTCTTTGGCAGGTCGCCACTTTGGTTTCACAATAATGCATGATGTCATCCCAACATCGACGTCTGACGACGTTATAATATCGACATTTCAAAACCATCTCAACGTCAAATTCTGACATTGTCTTGACATTGATGTTTGTCTCTAGCAATTTCTACACCCACAACTTGACAAATCATCTTTGTCCGACGTCATCTTAACATTGACGATCATGCCCTCTCAATATCGACAACAAACGCCCTCTTAACATCGACGCCCCATACTTACTGCATAGCATCGATGTCCGACTCTCGACAATATTGTCGTCTCCTCTCTTGATAGGATGCCGAAACAAATCTATCAAAATCAAGAAAAATTGGGGAGGCCAAGTAGAGCTCATAAAATGTCATAGGAAGATGCTAGCCTTTAGAGCGGGCAGCTCCTTGGTCTAGAAGATATTTGTAGTGGTTACAATACCAACCTGGCACCAGCAGTCCACAAAATCTGTGCAACCTCATCATAACTTTCACACAATCAGCACAACCTCATTGATCGAGGTGATTTTGGATTAAAAGGATAATTTTTGAAGAGGTCAATGTCGTTTGTAATCTACTGATTTGGAAGTCAAATGTCAATAGTAGATTCACAAACATTAGGTCGGACTGGCTTTGGTCTTAACGCTGGTATATTGCGCACACATATTCAGGTCCATATGAATGCAAACCAATATATTCAATGGCTTGTCTCCATGATAACGTATCTGAAGTGGAAGATTAATTTTTTAAAAATTATTATCTAGTCTGCGAGTTTGTGCCAATTTAATTTGCATATTTTGATGTGCTTATTCCAAATTTAATGATGGCTTAAATTGTTCAAACTAGGCTGGCGAGCTTATGAAAATTGAGTATCAGAGAAAGGTTTCTTTGTTGAATAAGCAAAAGAAACGTGGTGCTAATCCCGAAACAATTGAGAAAACTAAGGCAGCTGTCAGTCATTTGCACACCAGATACATTGTTGATATGCAGTCCATGGATTCAACGGTCTCAGAAATTCAACATTTACGTGACGATCAGCTTTACCCAAGACTAGTTGACCTTGTCGATGGGTAAATCTTACTTCAAGCTTTCTTAAGGAAGAATTGTCAAGTTTTCGTGTATTGTACATGCTTTTTCCCAAAAAAAAAAAAAATCCGGAGTCATTGAGATTTCCATCTGCGGCAATATATATATATATATATATTCCATGCTTTTTTGCTAGCTTATACTGTCATTTTACCAATCTTTATATTATTCCATTTGCATGTCATGTTCTTTGAATCTTGGAGATTGTTTAAAGAACTATCTGATTGGAGAGATTATTCTGTGCGGACACTGGACGGTTCTCCCGTCCGGTCTCGCGCTCGGTACCGAGTGCGGTACATTTTTTGGGGCAATGTGACTTATTTTTATTGATCTTCAGACAAATCCGAACAAGCACGTAATAATTTGTCATCTGACTGAGCATTGTTTGGATAACTGATTGTGTTTGCATTTTGTTTTAACAGCATGGGGAAAATGTGGGAGGCCATGTTCTTCCATCATGACAGCCAGCTCAAAGCTGTTATCGACCTTCGAGTAATCGATATCTCGAACTCTCCCAAGGAGACCAGTGAGCACCTTTACGGACGTACTGTCCAGCTTTATGAGGTTGCAAAAGAGTGGCAATCCCAGTTTCAGAAGATTGTGAGCCACCAGAAAGAGTACATCCAAGCCCTGAATAGTTGGCTGAAGCTGAATCTCATACCAATAGAGAGCAGCCTTAAGGAGAAAGTCTCATCCCCGCCGCGGATTCATCACCCTCCAATCCAGGCCTTGCTTTATGCATGGAATGACATGCTGGAAAAACTACCAGATGATCTAGCCAAGAGCGCCATTTCAAGCTTTTCTGCTGTGATAAACACTATAATACTTATGCAACAGGAAGAACTTAAATTGAAAGATAAATGCGAGGAGACGCAGAGAGAGTACGCGAGAAAGCTCCGAGCTTTCGAGGATTGGCACCACAAGTATAGTCAGAGAAGAGCAGCAGCTTCAGCCGAGGGCGAGATAGAGAACACCGAGATGGCTAATACAAAGGACCCTGTGACAGAGAGGAAGTTTTTGGTAGATTCATTGAAGACTAAGTTGGATGATGATGTTGAAGCATATCAGAAGGCATGCAAACAAGTAAGAGAGAAGACTCTTGGAAGCTTGAAGACTCATTTGCCGGAGCTTTTCAGGGCGATGTCTGATTTCTCCATGACCTCCTCTGATATGTATAAGAAGTTGAAAGCGATTTCTGAGGTGCAGAATCTGGAGCCTACCAGCTAGCTGAATGGTATGCAGAGGAAGACGAAATTCTTGTGCCTGTTGTATGTAGTTGTTGAATGTTTTTTCTTCGTAAGTTATATACTCTTTCTCTGTTCCAAATATGTATTATGTAGAACCAGAACATATCCATCCTTGTTTTGTTTTATCTTATTTAGAAGTGTAAAATGTTGTTTTTTTTTTTTTCTTTTCTTTTGGGTTCTGCGTAATTGGCGGGCCTGCTTAAATTGGGGAGCAATATCTTTGATATGAAAATTTTGAGAATAATTTGAAAATCATTAGATTGATTTTGATATTAGTGAAATATTAATCTTCATGTATTATTTAAAATTTTAAAAATATTTATTAGATTTTATGTTCATTTTAATATAAATTATATTAGGATGTTTCTCCTCTCTGGAAATTGAATAGCATGGTTTTGGCAAAGAAGTTTTTTCTTGGTTATTTGTATGAAATTTTTCTATAATTTTTTTTTTTTTTTGGTGAAAAAAGATTTGTACTTTTAAAATTTTATAAATAAAGATAATGAATTATCTTGTTTGCAAGAAAGGATGATTGATTGTAATAACCTGCTGATCCAGGCATTTCAATCAAAACCCCAAACTGGCTATACTCCTCATGAGACATAACCCTTCCCAATCATGCAAATCAGGAGATTTCACTCCTCGACTGATTCCCTTACTCACTGTCACCTCATGTACGGTTTAAGGCGAACGGGAATTTATAGTATCACACATACCTCCTAATTCTCATCTCTCTATCCCTTTATCTTCTACCTTGACCCTTTCGATGGAATCTTTGTCTCCTTCCTCTTCTGCTGATGACAATCATGAAAAAGTCTTTTTCTCTTATTTCTTCTACTTGAGTAGTGATTTTCGTCCCATCTTTTTTTGTCATATCTCCTCCCTTTCTTCTTGTTGTGTCTCAAGTCATATAGGTAATGGTTCTTTCCTTTCTAAGGTAAAGTTAGATTAGATTAATGCTGATTTTGTTTATTGTCTTGAATTATTGGTATAATTGGGTGAAAGGTTGCATTGGGAGAAAGTCTTTATTTAAGATTGATATTCAATTAGTTTAAGTTGTATGTTATCTTATATTTTAATTACACATTATAAAAACTTTATTAATTTAGATTTAAATTGTGAGGGATCTTCAAATTAATTATTCACCTGATGTGACTAGTTAGACCCTAAGGTAGTTTACATATTTGCAACAATTAAATTTAGTAATGGTGGGATAGCTAAGCTTGATTAGGATATATTTATTATAATTACATAATTAATTTTGATGCCTTTTATTGCATACTTATAGTTGGTTGGTTTCACTTTCCATAGGATCTTAATTTGATGAAATTGAGTGGACCATAATTGAATTTGAAATTCATACCACTCAATGTAATTAGTTATACTAATTTACTCTAAGATTGCTGAGGAGGATGCTCGACATCTTAGAACTATATTTAATATTTTTTTTGGGAGAATAAACTTTATCCAAATTTTCCAACTATAAATTTTGGCTTCAAGAAGTGGCATTTCTTAGATATGTTGATAGTGAAGCTAGAATTTATACAGGTCATAACAAGGTCTGAGCATAATGAATTAGCTGAGGCCTTACATATAATTTATGAAAGGTTTTTAAAGTATTGCTCCATCTTTAATTAGATTGACTTGAAAATCTAACAAGTTTATACAATTTGATGTTTTTGAGCAAAGCTTTTATAAACTTAAGAATTGCTTAGTCTCAGCTCCTATTCTGACTATCCCTTTTAGCATCGATGAATTTCAAATTTATTGTAATGCTTCAAATTAATATTAAGATTGTGTATTAATGCAACATAGTAGAGTGGTATCTTATGTTTCTAGATAGCTCAACGTGTATGAGAAGAGCTATCCCAAATATGACTTATAGTTTTTTTTTTTTTTGAAGAAATGCAAATTGCATTAAAAGAAGAAAAACCTAATACAACCTAGAAAATAAAAGCAAACCTTTTAAAACTAGCATAATGGATATGTGATCCACTAGATTCCATTTTAGATCCATTGGGGTGATGGGGATACCAAATATTAAAACAACCTAAAAGGTTGATTAGTATCCCAGCTTTCCCAAGGGATGGAAAATGAAACATAGTAAAAACTCTATATTTCATCATAATGGTTTTAAAAAGGTATAAGAAGCCTAAAAGCAGAACAATCAAAGGATAACTAGTTACAAGTAAACCAGCTATCCAAACATCAACCAGACCCCCATCGAACATAGGGTCCAACAATCTCCAACCAAGAGAAGTATTCGTTGTTATAGTTTCAACACAACCGACAATAGCCTCCAAGAATGAACCAATCAACGACGACAAAGCCATAACACTAACTCCCTCCTCACTAGTCCAAGAATCAGCCTCTCCACAAGCAAAATCATACCAACTGAAAATCGTCACCACACCCATCATACTGGCAAGAACAACCCCATTAAAATTCCAATAACTGGCCTCTTCATTTCCAAAGCCAACCAAATTGATAATCATCACCACTCTCATCACATTGACAAGAGAAAAACCAAAAAACTTCAAATTCTTCAAGTCTTTAATCAATAAGACTTGAACTTCAAAGACCAAAAAAGTAACCATCTTAATTCTAGATGGGATGAACTCCCATAAAAAACTAGCTCCAACACTTCTAAGATAATCCATACACCTTTCCATATACAAACCAATCAACATTAGAATAAAAGTTTCAATAACCCTGGCTTCACCAGAGCATTTTCTCAAAACATCTCTTGTGTAAGATCCAATCAAGGTCATAAAAAAGCTGCATAACCAGTGGTAAAACCAACTTTAACTCCAAGATTTTTTCAGAAAACTGGATTCCTCTCGCACAACAATTCTCCAAACTTAATCGGCCAAACCTGCATCTCATGCCTCATTTGAAGATTTCCAAACCTTAATTGAAAAGGGAACAATGTATACTTCATAACCAAATCTTGCAGACAAAATAGACCACGTCTATAATATAAAAAATTGCACCAAAGTATCTTGAATAACAGCCAAATCCACACCAAGAACCTCCCAGATTCAAACTTCAAACACAAAAAAATTATAGCTCCAAGCAGTAATTCAAGATTTTCATAAAATCCATACATTATCAAGCAGCAATTACCACAAAAAAACTCCAGTCTAATCTCAGCAGAACGTTCACGCCACAAGCAAGATTCTGCCAAACGATTCAAAGCCAAAATCGGCCCCCAAGCAGAAATTTCTTTTCGAAAAAAATTAAATCCACTGTTTAGGAAACAAAAATACTTCTAAAAAATCACATCCATATTTGTAGACTTACCCACTTCAATCAAGAATCTAACATCTAAGTAATAACCACAGACCTTAGCCAAATCAGACTGATGGAGAACTGCAGTCAGGCTTTGATTTGCCGAACTCATCTTCAAATCCATTGCCTCTCTACCAAAACTCCTATAAGGACCTCCGTCGTCCATACCAGACCGATGGAGAACCACCGACCGCCAAGGTTTCGCCCAAATCGCTAAGATCGCCTTTTCCATCGCCTTCGCTCAGCGGGGTTTCGCTCCAACCCGACAAACAATTTTTAAGGATGTTGAATTTATTATAATTGCTTATGATGACTTATATGACTTATAGTTAGTTACAGTAATTTTGTAGAGATATTACCTTTATGATGTTCATTGTGAATTTTCAGTGATTATAAGAGTTTAAGATATATTTTTTACTCAAAAGGAGTTGAATTTGAGACACATATGAAGGTTTGAGTTAATGAAGAACTATAGTTTGTAGATTCAGTGCCACCCAAGTAAGAGTAATAAAGTTGTAGATGCTTTAAGTAGGAAATCTTCATCTTATATAATATGGATAATCATGTAAGAATCATAGTCAGTACATAATATTGAGTGACTTTAGCTTGAGATAGTAACTTCATGAGGTAACTATATTATTTATCCAATAACTATTTAGCTAATAGTTATTGATCAAATTCATAAAGCTCAAATGGAAGACATTGGCCTGATGCAACTCAAAAAGTTAGTTTGAAATAGATTAAAACCCAATTTTACTATTGATCAACAAAGTGCATTAAAATTTTAAAAATAGACTATGTATTCCAGATCATGTCGATCTTTGATAGGATATACTTCAAGAAGCGCACATAACATCATATTTGATTCACCCATGAAGCACCAAAATGTATCAAGATCTCAAGAATTTTTTTGTCTGATATGCAGAATAAAGTTGCAGGATTTGTTGGCAAGTATTTGACTTATCATATGGTCAAGACTGAAAATCTAAAACCTGGTGTTATGTTGTAACCTTTTATTATTCCATAGTGAAAATGGGAGGAGTTTTCTTTGGACTTCATGTTTAGCTTGTATTGAACAAAATAAGGGCATGATATAATTTGGGTTATAGTTGATAGACTTACCAATATCTCTCACTTTCTTTTGATCAAGTAGAATTACTCAATTAAAAAGATAGTAAAAATCTACATGGATAATATTATTCAATTTCATGTGATTCCAATCATTATTGTGCCAAATATAGATGGAAGATTTACTTAGAGAATATGAAATAAAGTGCAAGATGATTTGAGTACGATAATAGATATCAACAATATATTGTATACATATATAGATGGTTAAAGAGAGCGCATTATGCATATATTAGAAGATTTGTCGAGATCTTGTATTCTTGACTTTGTGAATGGTTGGGAATAGTACATACCACTAATAGAGTTTATGTATAACAATAGCATTTAGGCTAACATTGGCATGGCACCATATAAGGATCTTTCTTAGTCAAAAGTGAGAATATTCTTTGTGTTAGTTTGAGATGGGTGAAAGGAAACTCCTATGACCTTAATTGGTTGATCAAGTTAACTGAGATAATTCAATCGATACAATAACAACTTTGTTAAGTTCAATAACATTATAACATATATTTTCACCCTAAGCATGGTGAGGTTGAATTTGAGGGTGGAGATCACGTATTTCTTAAGATTTCACCCATGCATAGGGTTACAAGATTTGGCAAGAGTAGAAAGCTTCAGCCTCATTTCATTGGGCCTTATGACAAGTTCGAGAGATTTAACATTGATAGACTTTCTTATAAATTGATTCTTTCTCCAA